CCCAGGCCCGGATCACCACCCGCCTGCAGCAGTACCGCGCCAAGGCGGAGCTGTCCCGGAACACGCGCCCCCAGGCCTGGGTCCCCCGGGAGAAGCTGCCCAGGCCCCTCACCTCCAGCGCCTCCGCCATCCGGAAGCTGATGAGGAAGGCCGAGCTCATGGGCATCAGCACCGACATCTTCCCCGTGGACACGTCCGACGCCAACGCCAGCACGGACGGCCGCCGCAAGCACAAGCAGCCCGCGCTCACCGCCGACTTCGTCAACTACTACCTGGGTGAGTAATGATAGGGAACAGACTGGGTTTGGGGTTTTGCAATATACTGTTTTTGTTTTGTTTTGTTTTTCTTCATTAACCTCCTGAGAGCCAGAAGCTTCTGTCTGGTTCTTCTTTGTTTAATAACTAGAGATTGTGGGTTTACCTTTAGATGGATGGATGGAGGGAGGGAGGGAGGGAGGGAGGGAGGGATAGATGGATAGATAGATGGATGGATAGTAAACATGCTATTACATAGCAAATCAATAGCACTTGTTCCTTATTCCAATCAATAAAATTCAAAGAAGAAAAAATGTAAAGAACCAAAACTTTGTTGCCTAAAAATAAACAGAAATCAGCCATTTCCGGACATTTTCAAGGCTGTTAAACGGGGAACGACTTAATTCAGTCGTGTTTTTTCCATGTGTTTTAAATGTTCTATCCATGAACATTTAGATAGATAGATAGATAGATAGATAGATAGATAGATAGATAGATAGATAGATAGATAGATTTTTCACACATAAAATTTTGAAGGGACATAAAAGACCACACTCTCTGGTGGCCAATATCATATGAACAATGTCAGTAAGTACGAAATAAGAGGATTAACCGACAAGTACCGAAATAAAAGGAAAAATTATTTTGTTTATAACAGAGAATCTTATTAAAAACAGCCTCAGATTTGTCAACTACTACCTGGGTGAGTAATGATAGGGGACCAGACTGGGTTTGGGGTTTAGCAAAATACTGTTCTTGTTTTGTTTTGTTTTTCTTCATTAACTTCCGGCGAGCCAGAAGTTTTTCTGTCTGGTTCTTCTTTGTTTAATAACTAGAGTTTGTGGGTTTACCTTTAGATGGA